TAAAATAAAATAAAATAAAATAAAACAACTGTGACTGGGTGGTTTTAACAGTTGGATTTCTAAGTAAGTCATGGCAACAACAAAGTACACACAGCAAAGGCAGTAGGTGTACATTTGAGAATGTATTTGAAACTTTCAAAATGAAATGGATATTACATATATCATATTACATATAAAATAAATAGTTCAAAATTAATAAAGAGAAGACAAATTACAAAATGAACAAAGTATGTGAACAATTATTCCCAGATGATAAATAAAAGTTAAGATACAAATTATACTCAAACTCGCTATTAATTTAAAAATGCTTATTAAAACAAGATATCATTTTACTTGACCAAATTGGCAAAATCAAAAAGCTGGCGAAGCCCAGTATTTTCAAGGAGGTGGGGTAGGTGTGAATCTTTATCCACTAAGGATAGTGAAGCAATTCTGGAGAGCTTGTACTAGTGTTTTATCTCACGATGTGCATGTTGATCTTACAGTCTCATGTCTGCACATATATGCTAGAACTTGTCCACACAGTTCCACGAGGAAATGTATATGATGATGCTGGTCCTGAATGTTTAGATGCATACAGAGCTCAATAGTAAGCATGTGGATGCACACACTGGACCCTGTGCAGCAGGTAGAAACAGACTGGACAGACTGACTTGGGACTCTGTAGGAGAGTGAAGAGTGAAACGCATTATGCATGAAGCACACAGTATTCTACCTTCAGCTGTAGTTAAAGCTGTATACAGAAAACAATACCACATTTTATACTTAGAAACAAAGGATGAGACACTGATACATTACAATGTAGAAAAGGGAGGGAAATGGGGATAAAGAATCAATGAATCAACAAAAAGTTGAATCAATCAAATGCCAGATGCCCAATTAGAACAAATATTCACAAGCCACAAATAGAGAAGGATAGTTAACTAAACAATTTGCACTAAAAATTCCAAACCCAGGACCCAACACAAGAACAACAAATAATTATGCTCTAGAGAGTTGGGATAAGATGAAACATAGGTTAACATCCCAAGAGAAAATTCATAAAAATGTATAATAATGTATAAAAGTTCTCAATTTCTAAGTGCAGATTGAAAATATCTGCAACATTGAAATGCTCTTGTTAAAAATGCCAGGGTTACAGCAGGCAACCCAGGATTCTGCTGCCATTACAGTCTGAGTCTCTGCCCTCTGTCCACCTGCAGCAGATAGGAGCCCCTCACTCAGAAGGCCAGCGAACTGCTCCCACCGGGGTTTGTGTGTGGGCCCTCACTGTGTGTGCCCTGTGCCAAGTGAGCTGCTGCCTCACAAGCTGCTGGTACTGTGGTTCAACTCTGTGCTTTACTTGTGCCCTGAA